AGCAGCACTAGATTCCAGTGTGCAGCACATCCTTTATGAGAAACACACACACACACACACACACACACACACACACCATGGACTAAACACAGTGTGAACCTGCTTTGCACTGAGTGATGAATAATTTGCTTTTATCTCAGCTGAGACACAGTTGACCTTGTTCCTCCCTTCTCTTTACCAATGCACTCCTCTGTCATCCGTGACTACAATACACAATGTTTCTCTGGAATTCCTGGAAATGTGATTGATAGAGCAGATGACCTAAGATGGGTTCAAAAATGGGTTCAAAATGAGACGTTCTGTGTCTCTACGGCTGCTAAGCAGCTACGTGCTAACAGCTAACTGCTTTTTTTTAGCTGCAAGATAAGTTTCAGGTGGAAAACCAAAGGGAAAACCAAGTGAGAGAGACAGAAAAGAAGACGGCGGGGGATCAGTGGAGGCAGTTCACTCATGAAGGAAGGGAAAGAGGGACGGAGAAAGAGAAAGGAAACGACTTGAAAGTTGGGAAGAGTGAACAGCAGCAAGCCTGGGGGAAGGAGAGAGAGAGAGGCAGGAAGACGGGGGAGCGTGCGGTTGGGAAAGAGAGGGAATGAGAAAGGATACAAAGAGACGGACAGAGGGAAAGAGGGAGTGGAGCATACTAGAGTCATGAGTCACACATGGCAACCGCAAGGCTAGCAGAGAGCGGCTAGCAACAGACGGCACGCTCCTCACTCTGCGGCCACGATCTTCCTCAGCGGTCCCTCATCTCACCTTCCACACACGCACATTAACGTTGAACAAAGCAGAAATGAGTAGCTGTGTCTCTGCTGAGCACTTAAGAAAAGCTTAGTGGTTACACAGGGGGCGCGCTGAAGGTCACAGTCACGCCCCCGCTATTATTACCAACGTCTTCCTTTTGAGGTTTCTAAATTTGTGTTTGTGAGGCGCCAAAGCGATGCGAAGAAAGGTGAGGAGAAAGTGTGAGAGAGCGCTCTCTCTTTCTCCCCTCCACCTCTCTCTGCTGATTTCCTCACCCTCGTTTTCTTTTTTAAGAATCGTGGTCGTGTGAGGAGAGGCGAGGACAGCGAGCTAAGTCTGTCTCACCTGACAAAGGAAAGACGACTCCGCCTGCCGCCCCCTTCGTTCACCCTCCCTCCATCTCCGGCTCTCACCCTGTAACCTCTCTCTCTCTCTCTCTCTCTCTGAAAAGCTGTGCTCATGTCAGTATCGTGGATGTGCATTTTAATATGTCAAAAGCAACATACAGTCGATGTTTTGCAGTTACACGGGTATGAGCAGGATGTGTGACTTGAAAAAAATATATTTGGGACTGTAGTTCCAGTATAAACACTTGAGGAAATCAAATCTCTGTTACCAAACAAGCATATTCATGTGTTGTATGTTGAGGAGTTTTACTTTTTTTGATGCCCTCACTTTCCCTCAAGATGCCCTGTTTACGTCTACTTCAGTTACTGATGTCAAACACGGAAGGGACATCAACCTGTTGCAAGACAGACATAGTATAGAAATTGCAGATAGCCTTCCAAAGTGTATGTTAGCTTAGTGGCATGTGTGTGGTCCTGACGACGCCCCTTGCTCAAACACAATATATTTTACAACTGCGGCACATTCTGGCCTGAGGTCATTCTGTGTAACATTGATTTCTCCTGGTATGCAGATTGCGTTTTGGTGTGAAATCAGCTTTTGTTTCATGATTTTGAGGAATGGAAACATTTACTAATGGCTTCTTGTTTATCTGTGCTCAGTCATATCTGTAACCATGGGTCACAGAAACCCACTGATAATGTAAAAAAAAAAAAAAACCCAACAACAACCCACAGCTGTTTCAACTGTTTATGCATCTCTATCCTTTTACAGTTAATGGCTCAAGGCACTCTTCCAGCCACCCTATTGTGCTCCCATACAGTGTAAAAACCATTTACAAACATCACTCCAATTAGTGCTGAAACAGTCAGTCAGTGGTGGATCAGCAGAACACTGATGGATGATCATTTGATAACCAATTAATAGTTGACATTATTTAGCAAGTAAAAGCACCAACTTCAACAAGTCCAGCGGATACATCTGAGCTCCTGTATCTGTCCTTGTCCCAATCTGTCCTTGTGCCACATAGTAGCAAACGGTTATCACCACTGCTCTTATCAGCTGGCCTTTTCACACACACACACACACACACACACCAGCTTACAGCATGTGTTCAATAAAGCATGTAACAGTATGACAATATTGGAAAGTTCCCCTGGGGAAGCTCTTCATTGGTACTTGAGGAGCAGAACTATCCAGTTATTGCTAATAATAATAATGCTAATAATAATAATAATAATAATAATGCTAATAAAGAGGCCAAGGATTGAATATAAACACATAAAGGCTTCAGGTTTTTATTTTATCTGCTGGGTTCAACCGACTGAAGGTCCAGACACAGTCAGTCCGTCCACTGTAAACCTGCTGTGGACAGCGCGATCAAAGCGCGTGAGGGAAGAGTTTCGTTGGCCCGTGTGCGCGTGCCGTCCCATTTTCCTGACCCTGGTGGTCTCGAGGAGAAATGTCAGCCGGGTAACATTATGGCCTTATGACATATGCTGTATTGTACTTTCACATTTAAAAGACGAGTGAACTTTTCTGTGTGGAAATGGACGATAATTAGTTTGTAAGTAAATGAATGAGCGAGCTGATAAACAAACAACTGTTGTCCATCGCAAACAGACCTGTTGGGAAGCGAAGCGCTGAGGTTACATGTATCCTTAAAACTAGCCTGACTGGAGCTAAACTGTGCGTCACTTGCCTAAAGAGATGCTCCCGAGCATGTTTGGAAAATCTTGAACCCCACAAACAAATTCCCCCGAATAAAGAAAGACACTTTCTTTATTCGGACAATCTTCTGTGTGAAATATGAGCTTCCTTTGTTCAACACTTACCTCTCACACGTTGAATTCAGCAGCGACACAAAAACGGGGAAATTTCTCACAGGCGGACGGATGTCTGACTCGGTCCTAGCGACTTTTCTCCACTCTGTGCGCCAACACCCTGCCTTCACCACTGAGACACTCAACAGGTTGGCTCGCTTTTAGAAAAGGGGGCTGAGTTTAAAATGATCGACTTTGTCAGCGTATCCTGATCCCGGGTCGGTTTCTATGGCCCTGCTGGCTGTTGGAGAGCAGACGGCTGGAAGCGAACGGGGCGTGGAAGCTGATCCAGAGTCAGGACTGAGAGCCCGGGAGGAGGAGTGGGGGATTAATGTTTGCTTGTCGAGAACGAAAATGGCGAAATTTGTCTATTTGGGGTGATTTACATTTACACTGGGATTTAGGTTGTTGGCTATGGTAGCCTACATATGACAATAGTAACTTAAGGAAAGAGTAACACCAGTTAATGTGAAAAAACAACTGCAATATAATAATTTAGTTTAGCATAGTTACATTTATTTTAATTTTGGATTTGCACACCAAAGGTTTCCAACACATTTTCTAACCTGGTCAATATTGAAATGGTTGACCACATGGTAATCTAACTCTACAGATTATCATACAGCAAAACATATAATGAACAGCAGGAAATGTTCCTTATGATGCACTATTTCAGTAACTATATGCAACATAATGATTAAACTATAAGCACTACGTGAGACAGACAGACTGTTGTGAAGGTTCCAGGTACAGGGAGAATATAAATGAGCCTGATTTCCATACAAGAGCTGGATACATTTCAGCATTAAAAACAAATCAACACAAGGGGGGCTTCATGATGACATTTCAATCTTTGAGACCGCCTTCACATCCTTCATAATTTCAGCAGCCCTTCACCTGTTTTTTAAATCAATGGTGTTTCTTTGCACAGGTCTGTACAGGTACAACCCCGACCATGCACCCAGTCGCTCCACCCCTTGCCTGTCAGCTCTTCCTCCTGGACCAAACTGGTTTGTCAGGCACGGTATCAGATTTCACTGTTGTCATCTTCCGCTTTTCTACAAGGTAAGAGAGGAGGGCGGGGCGGCGGTTAGCGTGGCAGTTTGGGAAGAAAGACAGAGAGAGAGCCAATAATAGGGGGGAAGTCTCATGTTACAATTCAGACACTGACACAAACACACATTTTTAAGGAGATATAAGAGAAAAACATACTTGTCCTTCGTAGAACACTTTTTGTCTGTGAAGGCAAAGTAGGATAATGTTACTGAGGTTACTTACACTTACAATACACTAATATGTCTTTGATATTGCCATAGCTCTGACATTTTCATTTGTGATTTAAAGATAAATTATGCACAGACTACTTGTTATTGTGGCCTGCACGGCTCAGTATGAATAGCTAATGTCTTTCATTTCTATATTCTATCTCAACTCAGTTTCATTTCAGTATTTATTCCACAGGTTTACCGTGTTGCCTTATTTTGTCTGTGTGGTTTCAGGACTTACAAAATACAAGTACTATTCCTCCGGCCACCAACAAGCAGGCAAAGATCAGGCCTCCAATTCGTAGCCTTTCATAGTCTGTTAGACAATAATGTTAGAGGTTAAGAGGGTCCTGGTGCACTGGAATAAACACAAATGCAAACCCAAAGCAAACATATCCTAAAATTAACTGGACTAATAAACTCATATTTGAGTCATGCTTCTAAAAGTCTTTCATATTACTTTTTAACAGTCATGTTTGCAGTGGTTGATTTGTCATCAGACACATGCAGTTTGTAATAATATAAGTGAATACATTATACTGCACATAATCCATATATGAGTGAGTAGATTATAGTATTAGGAGATATGACTGTCAGTACTTACTGTAAACAAACGGATCTGCAGACCAAATGCAAGAGGAGGAAAAATAACAAAAGTTAGTGGTTTACTTCAAGCAATTACCCAATGTGACAGACCATTGTAATAGAGACAAAGGAACTTAATGTGTTTGATTTCTTCCTAAACCAGTTTCTCAACAAACCAGTCTCAGGACAAGATTATGTAAAAGTAGTTTTGGCCTTACTTGCTTCAGTTTCCATGAAAAGGCTGAAGAGCACTGCAAGAAAGTCAGTCAGACAGAAGGTCAGTTGTGTTCAGTGGGAGTTGTCTTTATTGCAGTCAGTTGTTAGTGCAGCCATTTTCTTTCTTGTAAAAACAAGTAGTGATTTAAAGGATTTCAGGGTCATGGAGTGCTTTTTGAACAAGTGAGCTTTTGTATGCTCTTAAAGTCTCTTGAAAATAAAATATCTGGAATATTCACGGACGAAATAATATGTACATAATTGCATATTATAATATATATATATTATAATTACAGTACAGTACACTTAGTGTTTTGTCAAAATGTCATAATTTCTTTCTGTAACAGTCAGCTAACATAATCTTCAAGAGAAAGGAGGGTGATCCACAACCTTGAGACCACTTAAATGTTGTCCTTGTATTTAGTAAGGTGCATTTTTGTTCTTTTTTTCTCATGACCCTGATGACGTGAAATGATATATATGTGGAAAAGTAAATGTTTTAAATTTTATTTACCTGCCATAACAGTCACTACAGTGAGACGTCCCATATTCTACACAAATAAGAGTCAGATAAAGACAGAGAGAGGGAGAGAGAACATGAGTGTGAGAAAGCATAAAAGACAAAGAGGAAAAGCGAAGTGTACATTTTTTTCCCATCACTTTTCCTTCTCAGGCACACATGTGCATACAAGCAACAAAGCCTGCACTTCTCCCTCTCCCCAGGCAAAGTGTCCTTCTTGTGTGAGAGGTCAGTGTCTCGTCAGCAGGGATGCATTCTGGGTGTTTAGAGAGTAAACAGTGGATCATTTTTTGTGTTGGGGCAAAACCCAGCAGGTTTCCAGACAACTTTCCTTTAGTCTCCACTCAAACCTCTCAAACTGTCAAACACCGTCATGTGCTTTACAGTATCTAAAGATAATTTCTGAACCTGTGATCTCTGAGCTTCAACTTCATACAAACAATTGAATTTATTACTAACTTTAGAAAGTTTATATTTACTTTGCTTATATAACATTCACATAGGTGAGAAAATACAACTTTTCAGAAATATGATTGAGTTTTATAACATGCATTTCAGAGTAGTATTATTGTAAACTGCCAATTGTATGTACTTTGCAGATCATCAAAAGCCAACAGTTGGCTGAAATATTTTAAATTATTGATGCAGACATTTAAAATGTATCCTAAGGGTAGGAGAAAAGTGAGCATGCAAAATGACTTTTCAGTGACCTCACTTTAACCTCTAACTGGCCTTGGACACCCTTGGGAATCCACCTGGTTAGATCTACTGCATTTCCTCTCTGCTTTGCTTCGCTCTGGCTCAAACTAGTTTTCTATTCACAAGTATTTTTTCCCTGCCTGTTATTTAAACCGTGCATAGAAAAAGCATAGTGAATTAGCTCTAGACAAATCACGTTTGCTTTTTTCAATGTTGGTTAAATCTGACAAGAAGAGTTACGTGGTGTACCCAGAGTAAAGAATTTTACATCAAAATAAAAACACAGATAAGAGACTTCTTACGCTGTTTTGGTTCACTTATCTTCAATCATGACCTCTTTCTTCTTTCAAAAAATGTCATTGCACTAATCAGTTCGCATGACATTAGTCAAGGTCAAACTGTGGACGGGCCTTTGTCTTTCAAATGCATGCCACTTCTCAGATGACACAGCAGCAACAGAGAGCAACAGAAGAATGGGCTTTCTTCTTGTCTTTAAAGTGATTTACAAAAAATAATTCGGTTGGCCCACTCTAGCGTGGATGTTACAGTTCAGTGTCCTTCACATTTTACTGTTCTGTCAACATCCCCTGCATTCTTCACTCCTTTGTTAACCGACTTCAGTGCTGCTCTGCTTCCTAAATGTTTTTAAACCCAAATTCAATTTGGAAAATGTACTGCTATCAGAGAAAAAAGGTTTACCAAACGATAGCAAAATGCTGCTTTTGTTAAGACTAACCAGAAATCAGCACATTTATCATTATGGAGCTGGACATACAGCTTCATAATGAAGGGAGAAAAGTTTTGAAATTCACTTGTCATAACAAGAATATTTGCTATTCAATTTGTTCACATTTTCCTCCATAGCAAATTAAAAACTCATCTTGCAGTAAAATCATCAAATAGCCTCTATCTACCACTCTTTGCTCTCACACTAAAACCATCAGCAAAAATGATAATCAAACAAGAACCAAAACCTTTAACATCAACGTTCTCGAAGAAAGGTGACCTTGAACCCTATGAGGCCCATCCTGCCCTGCTCTCCCATACAGTACCTGTGCTTACCTGTGCAGATGGTTCAGAAGCAGAGGAGTGTGTGTGAATGTTCCAAGACACTGCTTGGTGAAAAGTGTGCATTTTCTTTTTTACCTGAATAAGTATCGCCTGCTCCTCCTCTTTGTTTGGGATATAAACAAGGTGCAGGGGCGCCGCATTTACGTACTTAGTGGACTAGTGGCAATGTTATTTCATAAACATCAGCGTGTGTGCATGTGGATAATGGAGTAATTGTAATTTGTAATTATGGTTAATACACTAAACCAGGGGTTTTAAAAGTCTGAGACTGTGGGCCTCTCCTTTAGACAAAGCTTAGAAATAGGCTCAATCTTACACTAAGACACAGATTCAAATGTTCATATAAATATTTTAACATTAAATCCATGTTACACTAGTTGTAATTCTCCAGCTTGACTGCTTTGACACACCAGTCATGGACTGTGTTTAAACAACATAGTGAAGAAGCAAATCAGAGGGGATATCAGTCATGGAAAATATGAATAGTGGAAAAACTGTGATAATAGCAAGACATCATGATCTTCACCATCTAGCCTTCCAGATACAGCAAAATCAACTTATTTTTTAAGCATATTCTTTTATTTTAGATGAGACGAAGACAGGAGGAGGGTGTGACAGTGTGTGTTGTACAGTGCACTATTTCTGTCCTTCTTCCTCTGACTTCATTGTTCTCTCTGTGGCTGTCAGGTATCACAGGTATGTCCCCAGTGCTCCTCTCTCTGTGGAACAGATTGCACTGTGTTGGTCTTATGGTTGACAGGCATTCTCCTTTTTTTTTTTTACTAAATCTTGGCAGGAGGGAAGGATCCTATCAGGACTGATTCAAACTCACAACCTTGCCTAAAGGGACCTTTTTTAAATTGGGAGTTGTTGTTTGTTCTTGCATGTATCAACTCAATTCACTTTAATGGCCACACAGTTAAGCATGGTATGTTATGGTATCTGTACAGATATGTTATATATTTATTATATATATTATATATAATAAATATATTTATTTATATATATGTTGCACCCTCAAAATGAACTGTCAAAAACACGTCCATCTTCGTTTTAGCAACTTTTTATTAAAAGAAAAATCGTCCACGGTTCAACACAAGCACACATTCCGTTTTCAGCCTGTATACACAACAACGCACCT